TGTGCGCTTTTATGCCCGTTGGTCGAGAGCCGAAATTGATGGATAATTAGACGAAAATAACAACATATCGACTGGTTCAGTTCATCATTAACTTATAGTCAATAACAACAGTTGAAGTGATTTTCTGTTTGCATTGATTGTTAGACAAACATATTTCTCCTGTATGTATGACAAAAGGTTCGCATCATCAAACGGTGTGTGAGAGAATTTTGTTTTTTGTGTGACAAAGTCATGTTACCGCTTCCGGTACCGTTTCACTTTTTTACAACCATGCACTTTCATGCGCCCGTTTTGGGTGCTGTCTCATTTGGAGGTTGGCGTAAAGCCTAGCAGTCATAAGAATCAGCTGATCACTAGCACCCAGAACCATGAGACGACACTAGGTGGCGAGCTATATTAGGGTCGCAATCGGGGGTGTGAGTTGTTTTCATACACACACACACACACACACAGGGAGAGAGAGCCGTAATCTAACTGTGAAGACAAAACAAAGAAAATTCGCTATTTAGGCAGATGCGTTTCTCTGCTTCACGGATCTCGGTATGCAAATACAAAGTTCGTTCGGGATTTGCCTATCTGAATCATTTGTGGTATCATCTACCTCCCCGTGGAAGGTTGAGTGTATGCTATCGCGGCCCAAATGATGCTTTTCAATCTATGGTGTAGAGGCATGGCGGACACAAGCAAACGAAAGCTGTCGACGTTGGAGCATTATTAGTTCATGAGAAGCATTCATTGAACGAGACCGATCGGACAAAGGGGATTAGGTTGATGTGATCATGAGCAAGCGCGAATTCCCGACATTCGTATATCACGATAACGGGTCGTGCAGTGGTTTAGTCACTGTCACCGGCATGCTTTAGACCCTACGGTCCGATGTTCGAACCCCACCACCGCCACCCGACTTTGGTGATAGGCAGCTCTTCGGTCGTCCGGTTTAATATCAAGCCTAATCTATTGGTGGTTCGTCACTCCAAGTCCCGGAGCTTAGTTTATCTGTTTCCACCACTGAACAGCAGATCCCCGTCACTATGCGGTTCGTCCCGTCTGCTGTTCATCACACTTAGGTGTGTAATAAAACATGTCATATTTGCCGAGGTAAGCAGTGGATGGAAGAAGACCAAGAATGGTTGGGTGTGCGGCGGAGAGAGGGAGTGAACTCGGGACCGGGTTATCAACAGGTATAAACATAAGGTGTCCGACGAGGAAAAGCTTGTCGCAACCATGGTAAGGCGATTCGACGACACGATTCAAGCAGATTCGAAAAAAATACTCATTTACTGTAACTCCTGACTAAGTTTTAATGCACATGCAAACTTTAGTTCATATGCCGTTAATAAACTTACCGTCGCTCATTTACCGCACCACGGGGTGAACCAATGCGCCACGGTGAGTCTCGATACGCGTACGGGGCATCCATGCGCCCGGATTCGTTCGGATACAAACGTTCCGGATCGCGATAGTGTCGGTCAGGTCTGGGCATTGGACGGCCACGGGACCCACGAGGATCGTAGTGGGTCGGGCCAGGAGGTCGATCTGATAATAAAGCAAGGCAGAAGTGGTGCAGCTAAGATAAGGTTACGTGCAAGTGATTTTATAAAGAATTTTGTCTCCAACGGGATTCGAATCATGACCAAAAGGTTTGAGGTATACACCACATGACCACTGTTTAAAATACTCCACTTCTGAATCTGTCCAGGGTACCGTTAATCGATCAGTCTGAAAGTTGTTTATCCCGTGAGATGAAAAGATAAATAGCAAGACTAATATGAATACGAGTAATGTTAGCACTATTTCTCACTCGGTCAATGTGTCAGACTCAAATTTCATTTCTCGCAACCGTCCGTCCGTCACTCAGTTGCACTGTTGTGTGACCGTTTGAGTTGCTTTCTGGCGCTCACACCCATTTGATCAACCAATGATGACGGAGTGGGATGGGATGAAACTGAGGCTACGATCTAGTTCAAAATAAGGAGAACAAACCAAACGAACTGCAGATTTGTGCAGAACGTCGTAGATGTGCGACCGCTACTGTTTGTGACACTCGTCCACATGACAGTGTCTCCTCCAATCCTTGATTAGGTTTGTCACGAGGTCAACAACCGGGAAGTCCGAGGTCAACTATGCGATGCGGAGACCCGGTCAGGTTATCTCATGTCAACACATTGTTTGATCACTCTTGACTTTAATCCGCTCATTATCTGATTCAGAAAACATCGCACACCGAGGAAGCTTGCTTGCATAATGAGTGCCCCAGTAATCACAATTGATGGAAGTGAAGCACTCACTCCAGTGCGCGACTGTAGTTATGAAAAACTCAGTATTAAATGTTCGATTGCCACAACAGGCATGAGGAATGCAACGCAGTGGTGTTCCGACAGATTATCTTCGCGTAACAGTCATGTCTCTGCATCATACAGAACCGCTGATNGGGCAGCCGATCATCGTGGCGGTGTCAAAATAACGCTCAGTTTGACAAACACCAACCGAGCTTTTAGTACGGGTGCGGTGATTCCGTGATTCATCCAGCGGGAGGGGGGGGAGTAGTTGCTCAAATAACCAAATATACCTACTCTGTATATTGCCTATACTGTTGGCGTGAAACTAAAAACTGGATCAACCCAGTCGTTTATATCAACAATTCATATTTTGAAGGTAGAACACGTACATTAAAACATTTTATCGGAACTCCACTGAGTATTAAAGATAAGAGTTTGATTAGGTGTCTGGTGGTCACATGTGTCCGCAACGTACCTGAGAGGCTCTTGGTTTGAATTCCATTTAACACGGCTTTCATCTCTTCTTAACTATATGCATGAATATTATCCTTCTAAAGTGCGACTGCTTAATCGTTTCACATCGTCTTGTCTCCCTCTTACCCGTGATCTGATACAAGTAACTGTGAGTCATATACAGGTATTGACCAAACTCGTGCAACATCCTGATTTTCGTCTCATTTGCTCCTCTCAATGCTTCGTTTTTCCAGCCTCATTCACGGGATTGAATATAATATTGCCCCACATCAGACGCAACATATCTGATATAATATCCACTTATGTCTTTGCTTCTGTTAGCCACATGCCATTAAAATGCAAAATTTCGCGATTTCAACGATTTTTGCTAATGCATCAGTTGCAAGATAACAAGGTCACAGTAGAAAACTTAACTGTAATTTCTTTATTAAAATGACTCATAGACTTTATACAGGTATTGAAATTTATTTAGGTTAGAATATTTTCAATAATTTGCTTATTTACTGTGCACTGAATCAAAAGAGAATAGAAATTTAGAATACATGTGCTCAACTTAATAGAAACTCTTATAGAACAGGAATCATCTGTTAAAAAGGATAAGCTCCCATGCTGCTTTGCCCAAAATATTTTCTAAATCAGAGCTGTAACTTTCGAACTACTGCAAATTTTATAGCGACACTCAAGGTCGCGCACATTCAAATGGTGATAACAATGAACAAAGAACACATGTTGTAGATAAAGTCGGGACTAAATATAGTTTACTCATAGCCGTCTATATATAACTATGATATTGAAAGCTGAAATGGATTTTCAAAATGAGGGTGATGTTGCACGAGTTTGGTCAACACCTGTATGAACAATTAAATCCCCTCTGATCCTCTCTGCTATCTGCACAATTTAGAATTCCTCAACCTGACACGAGACTATCTATGACAATCGAATCGTAATGTTTCTGTTTGGTTGTCACCTAGTGCACAACCCTGGGATGATGATGATGATGATGACACTTCTGCTGCTGAGCACAATCAAAATTCACTGGGACATGCACGATGGAGTAATCGCACCGCACATCATTTAGCGAGCTCCGAAAGTCTCAGTATGTTTGGGGGTGGGTTGCAGCTGGACACCCTTCCCTTGCACCTCGCGAAATGTTTTCACACGACCAAGCGTTTCAAATAGCTTCTGCTGAGGAAGCCCTACTCAATGCCGTCTCGCGACGGAGGTGTTTTCCCACCCGACGTCCGGGGCTATAACCGGATTGGTGGGCCACGGGTAGTTCATCTAGGGGAGTTGACCAGAAATTCTGATTCCAAACAAACCAAGAGGAGGTGTACGAACCACACCGACACCTTTCCGGTTGTCGCAATGGTCACTGGTTCAATTGAGCATCGAAGTCTATTGGACACCTTGGACATTCGACCCTGTCCAAAGGGCCTATGATCCGATGAACTGGACACTAGCCCCAATGGACTGCGGTTTTCACACATCGCCCCGCTGACTTGCGGGTCAGACTTTGGTTAGCCAAAGGCTCCGGTTGTGGATTCCTCAAAAAAAATTCACCTGCCTTGGTCTGGGTAGCCTGGCAGTGTAATGCAAATCGTGAAACGTTTTTCTTTTTATAACGATTATTGAATAAAGATTTTTTTGGGTGTGTGAAATGTAATAATAATAATAATGATAATAATAATAATATAATCACTTAGCGACAGCGTCTATTAGGATGGCGAGGTGCACGATCAGAGTAATTAATAATCGATTTCGGAAAACGGATTTCAAAGTACGGTTATGAGGAATTATAATTTTTTAATTGTGAGAATCAATTACAGATCAGCTTTACTTTTCCCACGACCAATGCCAATTGGACTGCAAAGGAACTCATAAATTCGGCAAACTATTTTCATTCAACCGTCAAAAGTGACACTAGTTGAAATAATGGATTAGTTTAGTCATGACACACACACACAGATGGTGAGTTGAGAAAACAAAGTGTATATTTTAAAAACAACCATCTAGCATGATTTAAGGCATGGAATGGTGGCATTGTCTTGTGCTGTTTGAGCGATTTTCGCTGTTTTCGCGGCTGTATTGACATTTCGCTTCCATAACCAATTGTCACTTAAGTGACGGACGAAAATTATGTCCTCCGTGTAACCCCAGAAAGAGAACTCAAGAAAGACATCGACAATTCCGCACAAGCGTGATTGGCATCAGGCTTAATTGATTATTCAATAAGAAAATCTTGATTCCCGTCAAGGGAACCAAGCTCACACACCCGGCTCTGTCGGATGTGACGAATCCTACGGGAATGTTCTTGTTCTCTACCTATCTAATTGGACTTGACTTAAGTAGAACATGAAGGGATATGGATACACTCGAGTTAAGTGCAGAGCTGAATGCTACCAGGTGCGTCCCTGGGTTGCGGATAGGGGAATACCTACACCGAAGAATATTTTCTGTGAATAAGTTGTGGCATACCACAACAAATAAGCAATCGTGAACAAACAGCGGTGGCATTATCAGGGTGTGGTGGGTTTCAGGCTCGTCACCTGGCTCCTGTTTAAACACCGCATAAACCCAATGACGGTGTCGTGACAAAGGTCGACGTGACTGGCCTTTTAAAACAAGTCATTGACCCCCTCACTTCCAAGGCCAGGGATTAATTCCTGCTGCCTTGCAGTTCGCACTTGTTTGTGCAAAATTTAAAAAAAACACCGAGTGACGTTAGGGACGTCTCTCGTACCAGACTTCCAAGTAAATTCATGATCATGATCATATCTGGAGCCAACTTATCCTTTCCAAAGAGACAGCCGCAGTAAAGTAAAAGTAAGATATGGACTTTTCCGCTATAGTGACCGTCAAAAAACTTCTGCGTTGCACAAGCATCTTCCAATAGGACGTTGCCATCATCACCAACATCATGGAGCAGCGAAATACGGTGAAGTGAACAGCTCATCGTTCACAAGCTTTCAATGCATGCAATGTAAGCAGGTATGTGTACAAGGTGGGTAGCAGATGGTTCTCTGTTTTGAGGGAGAGGAAAAGTTGTATATGGATGATCGGCGCGTTCAACTGTCCTCACACACCGCTTCTGATCAGATAAGAAGAGGAGAGAGAACAAGAACTCTACTACTGTCCGTTCGCTTCCTTCAGTGTTTCCAGTCAGCCAGTTCTTTGGACTCTGCCTAAACTCCTCATGCAGTTATATTCGTACCTGGCCTGTTGACCTTCGTGAACAATACGTCTCAGTTTAGAACCCGATGGTGCTGCTATGCGGAACGGGTGGAAATTTTGGTGGTCCACGAATCGTTGAAAACAATTGTTCATTATTGAAATTGTTCTTTGCTACGATGTATTTCAATTTACGAGGCGGTAAATGTTAGAAAGGGACTTTTTCAACGAGAGGGGAAGCAGTATGTACTGATGACGAATCCTAAAACAGGATGGAGCAGCTGTCCAGTGCTCTTTGTGTCGGTCATCGCAAAAGATTTCCGTCACATTGAAATGCATTTATCTAGTGGGAATTCACGGTCTTCCAAGAAATGGAACCCACACCCAAGATCATCGATAGTGACTGGCGCGAATGGGCTAGCCCAAACATGTATGTATGTATGTATGTATGTATGTATGTATGTATGTATGTATGTATGTATGTATGCTCAAATTCAGTGCCAATCATTTTGTTGAACTTTCATTGGGGATGTGTGCGTAACAAACGATTTCAGGTGATAGTTTTAGTTTCAATCTTTCCGATTACCATTTGATCAAACAATGAAGATGAAGAGGAACAAATGGGAAAATAAAAAAAGTTCAGAGCAGTTGACAAAATATTGAAAATCGGTTCTCGTAGCTCGGGTGAACTGAATTCCATTTCGCCTGTTCGCCGAGCCTGGCAATTTGTTTGCAAACGTTTCATCACCAGCCGAGGTGACATCATCAGTG